CTAGTCTGCTTTTATTAAGGAGAATTATGAATCAATAATGTCGGAAGGTTTTGTATTACTTATTAATGATTCTGACAATTATATTCGTACTAAAATTCAAAGAAACAAAAGAACTTCTCATAGACTTTACTTTTCATGCACATTGCCTTTATCTGAGATGTCTTCTTCTAACGAAAGTTTTCAGTAGTGTGCGGCTCTCATAATGTTCCTCACCTTTGTTCAACTTTCTTATCAGACTTAGTCTGAAAACCCGTTACTCTCGAAACAGTGTTGTCTTTGCTCATCCCATTATATTTACGTTTTGGTGGGCAATGGTTAACGTTAGAAAAGATAGAAAAGGTTTTGGTTATTCCATTTGTAACTGAAAAGCCATTTTTGTATGTGAAAGTCGGTCCCTTTAAAAATATAATTCCTGATTTGTAACTAGCTTGTACAGTTACTAGAGGTATCGGAAAAGAAAGATCCTGAGAATGACGTTGACCAGCAAATTACTTATTTAGATGCCACATGTATTGGTCAGATTTTTCATGAGGTCACATTAACTCGTTCTTTTGATCAATCAAGAGGTACCGATCATAATGATCTTCTGTTTGCTACTTATTCTCTTTTTCGAATCAGGGTGACAAACATCAATCACTTGTCACCGAATATGAAAATGCTCACGAGATCTCCCTTTTCTTCAGACGGTTATTAGTTAAGCTCTGCTATAGAAGTATAAGTTTGTCACATTGTTAACAACATAATTCTTATAAGAGAACGAAGTCCACCTTAGATACCCGCTGGTGATTAGTGGTCAGTGAGTTATCAAATTGTTGCTCCTAAAACTTATAGACAATAACGTCCTAGTTCACCGCAAGAATTTCTTTTGGCTGATTATTTATGATTCAAAAAAGACTTGTCACGTATTCTTGATAATTAATATATCTAAAAATAAGTTTTATCGTGCTTGTGGCACATGTCTTGGACATATTATGGGACACTGACAAGTTAGACCATATATGCTGACATTAATGCTAATTTTGAATTTTCCGTTTCTATCAGTAAAAAGGAAATAATGCGATGCTTTTTAAGGCTGGATAATACCAGAACGGTTTCTTCAATGTTTTCATAATTGCTGAACTTTTCTCGAAGATGTTGAGTAAGAAATCCATGCTGTATTGGTCTGAAAATGCCAGGAATCTTTTGATAAAATTAATACAATACTTAGGAATGCATCAGATTTTTCAGTTCCCAGTTTCAGTCAGCCATTAACACGTTCATAGACCACCTGACCAGAACCATTGATTATTTTTATTCCCTTCTTTTCATATATATAATGTAGTTTATCTAGTAATTATTCGTTCGTGCTGGTAGATCTTGAAGAAGAATCATTTGTTATTTTCAGTATTTTATTTGGGGTTGAATTTATTTACTCAAATTATTTATTCTCTTGAAATACAATGCACTTTAAAATATGTTTGGTTTATATACACTAACTTGTAATTATAGTGAATGCAAACAGGAGCCTTTGAATTAATTTACTGCGATTCAACAAAATGCCGTTGGCACATCCTTACAATTCTAATATTAATAACCAGTTTGTATAAGTCAGTGAATTCCCCTTCGCCATTTTAGAAAAAAATGTCCGAGTGTTTTCGCTACTGGTGGTGCAGTCAACGCTTGAGTATTTTCACATGCACGTGCAATGATTCCAAGTTGACCTCGAGTTATCTTCGATACATTAGGGTAGTTTTAATGGCCAACATCTACCTGAAAATTAACAAAATGATCTTCATAAATCACTAGGTTACCTGTGTCAATGTCAACAACACGACTTGTAAACCCAGATAAATCCGCTTTTGGTGGCAAACCGGCTGAGATCCACATATTCATCATGTCGTCGATCTGAATAACTTTCATAAATATTAAATATTTTGTATAATATTAAACATATTTTAATGTGAACTCCGTAATTGATTGTGGGGTTAGTGAACTCTCAAGTGTACTAAACGCTCCTACAACAAGATGATTGTTTAATGGTACCAGAAACAGAGTTTGTACAGATATACTTAAATAACAGCATCAACTGGTGTTGCACACCTATACGAGACAAAAGACCAACGATGGTAAGGTTTCACCCTATAAAAAACCAAGTGAGTGTCAGGTCTGTTCTCAAATCCAGGTTGACAACGTCGATTTCACGTGTGAGTGTCACCATCGATGCAACTTCATTTGGCATAAAGACACAATGAAAATGCTTGACCGATTCTGCCATCGTAAGTAAATCATTATTGGACAATGGACAAATGGTGTAATCTTTTGAGACTGGATAAGCAGAGACCTCAGCCAGATGATATTCAGCAACGTGTTCCCGATAATCAAAGGTCCTTCTCTTTGTAAACAGACTCCAACAACATTTTTCAGCTCCATTTCTGATGTAGTTCCTACAATCCATAACACTGCAGCATTTGCAACTGTCGGTACCACTGCTGCCAACAAGTATAAAGTCGCTGCGGAATATTCTTCCGTGTCGTTTGCATTTATTTCATGTATTTCATCTCTGGCATTGGTAATTTTAATTCACCGAGGTGTTTATGTGTTTGGTCCCATTAATTGAGCAAGTTGCATTTCATTTTAATTTTGCCGATGAATATTTCTATGTGATCCACAATCATTTTTAATTACGTATTATTTTCCAAGTTGTTTTCACTAAGACCAACCTTCACTTCATTATAGGACATTTAAATATGCAACGTGTTCAAATATGAATTTATGTATTTACCACAGGCGCTTCGATGAACCTCTTATCACAACGTATCGCAGTATAACATTGGTAACCGCCACCAGCTTTAGCGACAAGTGCATGAAAGTACATGTCGACAACGAATTGTTTAAAAAACTCTGGTGCTACAATTAAAAGTAATAAATCGGGCATAACGTACGAAAGTATTTTTGGAAAATTTGCAGACCATTGTTCATGTTTTGATGCCGGTTTATATACAATTACAAATTGTGATATGCAAGTGCATTATGTTCGTGTTTATGTTTGAACTGAATTTCTTGAATTTTCTGATGACAATTTGAATGTAAAGAAACCTCAGTCACTCATCACTTCATTTTAATTTGAGCCTGGTAGTTTGAAAGACCAAACATGCACGTCTTTGTGCGATAAGACCATGATGGATACTTATTAGTCATGTACAACATTCCATAATATCAGTAGGTGTGTGTGCATCTGCGGTATATGCAAGAAACGACAGCGTTGAATGGTTCACGACCGCATATCCCTAATCCGCTACCCATTGTCAGATTTGGTCAGCAATTCAATTAATGATTTAACCAACCGCAGGCGGCATTCTTTCAGTCTATTGTAGCATAATCAATTTCACGGTGCTGCAGTTACAAATCGTCGTATTCCATATCGAATCCAGTGCGTCATCTTCGGTTTCAGTTGTTTTATCTGATCCACAACAGCAGTTTTGATGCTATCAATGACTCGCTTTTATCTTTTCTTTAGCAATTGGCGCAGCGCCTGACGTCAAGGCCCACCTTTGGTGCACTTGTGAACATTGCATAGCCGAGGCCAGTTCAATAATATGTTGCGTAAACTGGTTTGCTCGTGTTAACAACGTGCACTGGTCTTACATGTACACGTACGAAGTCATTATATTAAATATAAGACCGATATTTAATTTACAGCTGTAGCCTTAGTGTTTTATCAAGCATATCAACAACATGCCCGTCTTGATCCACAATGGTAAAAACCAGTATGTGTCAATCATATATTATGGCATGGAAGATACAGAAGCGAAATCCTAAACAATATATAACCCTGAACAACTACCCCTTTTTTAAGACTTCCTGTCCTCAATGATACTGACAACGTCGCAGATTAAATTGATCTAGGTCAATGAAGTAACCAGAACAAAATCAGTTAGGATATGATATCCCATACGTGAAAGTTGTTTATCATCTGAAATGTATTTACGCCAGCCTAAAACTGATCTTATTAGTGACTTTTTAATATCAACCACACACTTCTTAGATTTTATTGACAGAGCTGATTGAGGTTCAAAGGCACGAATATAATTGTTCGAGTCTTTTGTGTATATCAATGTGATTCTTTATTGAGTTTATTCATTACTCGATCCTTTATCGTACTTGCCAGAGGAAAGATTAATATTCTGCTAGCGAGCACCAATGTCTGCTGACAACACAAATGAGATATTTTGCGGAAAGACCACCAAACGGTTGTCGTCTGATATTAGGCCAACTAAAATACACTAGTAGTGACGCTAGTGTGACCCTACTTTCACGTAGTTCGCCGGAAATAACATGTACAGAGAACGTCACACTGAATTCTGGTTTCCTAAATGAGAATGTGATCATCGATGAACGCTCTGGATTATATTTTTCAAAAACACGTTCTGTTACAGCATATATTTCACGTAGAACATGCAGCATCTAAATTGTTTCAGAACTCATCATGGGTGATGGGTGTTGTAGGAATCACGTTCGTTGTATACCTCATTGATATCTTTAACAAGATCATGCATCATCGCTCGATATGTATTATTCTCCATTATGCCATTGTGAGCAATTGCTGACAAATAGCTGAGGCTTCATTAATAACTTCGGGTGCATTGTTGCCCGCACAAGTGTTTTCAATATATGCTTGAGGTCATTAAAGTAGCACAGGCCAACAGGGCATTCTCCTTGCTTTGATTGTATCTGTTGAATTGTTGCAGTTACCTCTGGTTCTCTGCGTCTTTTCTGCTCCTGCGTGGGTAGAGAAAGTCTTTGGTGTGAGTGCTGAAGGTCTCTGGTTTGATTGTGATATACCTTTTGGTTGTGTAAGTATGAATGTTTGTGTGATTTGGATTTTTAACGAAGTTTTAGATATGTAGCATCAGTCATCCAGTCACATTATCCTGACACCCGGCCAAGCAGTCCAAACACTAACGTATTGCTACTGAGTGCCAAACGAGGTAGCTGTTAGTACTATGTTTATGTCTTTGGTATGACTCGGCTGGGGATCGAACCCACAGTTCCGCATCTGAGACGGTCGCTCTAACCATTATGCCACCGGAGCGGTCAGGTACAAATGTTTGAACTAAATGTGCTGTTGCTGTTTTTGCAATCGTATTTAATGCTCCTGATATGCAAGTTGTTCCTCTTGCATACGTTGTTTCTCTTTTTTATATTTAGTATCTCTCTTGGTCGGTATTTTGGTTGTAGTTGCGTCACTGGTGAGGTACGTACAATACCGTATATTCTGTTAATAAAATTTATCCTTCAGTTCTTCCACTCGTACGTTCATTATACGTTTCTACAAATAGATCACACCGTTTACAGATTAATATTTCTTTCCAGTAAACTCTCTGAATAACATTTCAGGCCACCCAATGGTTACGTGTAAATCGTGTGTCTTTGATGGAATTTTTAACATGTATTTAACATGTATTTCTCGATATTAGCAAAGCTTTTCTAACTCAGTGCAGATTAAATGTAAATATCGTAACTCTTTAAAAATGTGAGACAGATAAGATAGATTAATTTTATAAAATCTGCATCAGTTGCGGACGACTAAATCGCGAAGCAAATGGGAAGTACTGACTAGAACTTGCTGACTACTAGCTGTATACATTCTAAAGAATGTGCCTGTTGTTTGATCTCTTTCGTGTATTAAACATCCACGGTACGGCGCTTGCTTTCCAAATCGTAGGGTATAGAGGCTTTTGTGACCAGTTACAAAGGAAATGGGTAAAAAGGCAAATCTCCCATTCAGGCACTACTGAGTCGTTGAGGCTCCAACATCTGTTTCATCTTGTGACATGCTGAAGGATGAAATGGGCATATTCTACATCAACTTGCAACATGACAGGGGTTGGGGTGGAGTGGGGTGCATAAAGCTTAAGAAAAAGCATAAGCAAATGAAGACGGACAATATTACAGAACAAATAGCTACATGTTCGAAAGAATACCTAGCACGTCCATATTAGATGCATAGAGACAAAGAGTGTGGATTCAAAATAGAAGCCTGTTAACGCAATGTTGGCTGAAGACATCTATTGTGGTGAAATATATAGATATTAGACCTACCTAATAAACATTGTGAATGGGTTATTTGTGTGTGTGTGTGTGGAGGGGGCATATAAAATGTACTAGCGTTATATCCAGAAGAAAACAGATGAACCCAGGTCATGTAATAAGTATTTCTTATATTTTGCAAGTCTTGAAGTTTATAACTCATTCGCGCAGTATTTTACTATTAGATATTTGTCCAGTGTAGAAACCTTTTATACCACAATTGTCTGCTGGTCTCACCGATGTAACTACATTCGGTTATTGCAGCAACAACACAGTTATCCTTATGTATAGTTTTCTCTCTACCACGACGCAGCTTTAGTTTCTTCGTAAGTACTGTTGTTCTTTAGTTGTAACGTTTTCATTTTTTAATTTATTTTTCATTCTGTGGAAAAATGAACATACTTATTCTTCCACGAATGTGAATGTTTTATTATACTATTATGAAGACGTTTAATAGGTCTAAACTTAAATAATTATTTTGCCTTTGCCGTTTTCTAACTATTGTGTCATTATATAATATTTGGACATTGGTTTGTATTTCCACCTGCACATGCGTAAATTTGATCATCTCGCGTTACTTTCAGCGTTCTGAAATCGCACTGACATGCCACTTACTTAATTTTCCTTTCACTGTGATTCAAAAAACATACGAGTTTAGTAGACACGTTATGTATATTATTTCTTTGCTTGTATGATCAAGAATTATATAAAAATCATGTTAGTTATTGGATCAGTTTTCACAACATTCTTAAATGCTTTTTTGTAGGTTGACTATATCTTTCACAAAACATTAGCATTTATATTTTGTTTTGTGCTTTGAATGCAGACCGAAACTCTGCCTATACAATAGTATACTAATTTAGCAATAGCAATTGGTTTTCTTTTTTGCCAGAAAAGGAACTTTCTGACACTGTCAAGTATTTGAGGGAGCTGTACAAAGATTTGGTGACTGTTCCTCTTTCTCCTTCCGGTGAGAGTGAAGACTATGTCAACGTATCAGAATTGTACGTCAACATTTCCTTCAAAAAAGTAGAAATTGCAGATCTGAAGAATGAAGAAAGCAACGCTTTTTCTGGTACAGAACGCGAGGACAAACCACTGATAAGTAACTATCAAGCCTCACGAAATAAAATAAATCAAAGTTCTCCAATCTTTCTGTTTGGAGATTGTGGCAGTGGTAAGTCAGCATGGTGCAAACATCTTGTTCAGTGCTGGCTACAATGTTCTGACGTTAAAGATGTTAATATAGAATGTTTAGGTTTACCTGATCTGCAAACTATTAAAATCCTATTGTACTTGCCACTACAGTTTTCTGACCGAGGTATTTCGTTTCAGGAATTACTGAGAAAACACATATTCAAGGAAACAAGAACTTATGAAGAATTTGTAATGAATTATGTAAAAAGACATTCACAGAAAGTACTTATCATCATGGATGGCTTAGATATAAGGGAAAATGTAACACCCATCTCAGACATTTCCAATGACAAATATATATCTTCATGTACAGTTGTTGTTACTGCCAGACCTGCTAGTTTAAAACTGTTAAAAGACACATGTCATGTCAAAGCAGAACATATGAGATTGTTTAGAGTCAGTAGGATGACTCTTGAAGATGCCACGGCATATGCTAGCAGTATTTTAAAGCATATAAATCAACTGCATGAAAAGAACTTCAGATTTGAAGACTTTTGGAGGTTTACTGAACATCTCCATATAAACGATTTGCTCAGTGTGCCCTACATCTGCCTAGTGATATTGCATGTATGGATGGAAAACGAAAACTGCTTCACTGAAATAACACATATTCTGTTTAATATCATATATTATTATTTACAAAGTGCAACATCAGATCAGCAGCGCAAAGAATTTATAGAGAGCGTATCAGACAGAAGAACCACAGTTGCACAAACAGACATGACCAAATTAAATAAATGGAATTTAGCCATGGAACACGAATATCTCCTGCATGTGCTAAGTAGGGTCGCTGCTCAGATACTTTATTCTGAAATAGAAAGAGAACCTAGTAAACTGATATTACCCCAAATATTCCCCAGCATAGATGAGGATGATCGTGATCTTCGACGTATTTGCGAATCTGGTCTTTTGACAGAGCCTCTTTCACTATCAGCTAACAAGAAAGTATCAGACATGACGTTTCCCGATAGACTTATATTTCAGTTTTTTGTTTCCATTTTCATTGCATTGCGAGAGGGACAAGACTGTGATTTTATTTTGTCAAATATGACCGCGTCGATGCAAAATAGTATGATAATTCACATGCTTTTCCAGTTGTCCGATAAATTGGTTAAAACCATTGTAGACAAAACAATCAAGAGCTTTAAAACAGAGAACACAAACTCTATTGGTAACGAGTCGAATGAGAAATGTAGGTACTGTATAACATTCAGCAATGCAAGCCCAGTTCTATGGCTTCATTCATTTATGTATAACGACGCATTTCATGCAACAAAACTCTTGTTTCTGTCAACTGCCTTGCATTGCATTGATAAATTAAACTCTCTAGAGTTGACAAATCATGAAAATAATGAAAATCTAGTTTTTCAGATACCTTGTCTATCAGAGCTGGAAAGGTTAACGCTTGATATAAATAACTGTACGTTACTGTTATGCAAAGAGTGGGATAGTCACATACCTCGCAAACTGAAAGAGGTTGTCATCAGATCTGTAAATATCAACACAGGCACTCTTGGTCTATTTATTCATGCTTTAGGATTATGCGCAGGCCTTGAGAAGTTAGAACTATTTCCATCGTTAATTTGGACTGACGATAATAACAACTTGTCGAAGAGGCCAAACCTTGCAAATTATTCCTGGAATGAACTATCAAAATGTATACAGGGCAATACAAAATTGAAAACCCTAGAGTTCAACAGTTTGATTTTGTTTGGTGTAGTGGACACGTTGCTCTCCAGATTGTTCCGTTATGAAAATCTTGAAAATATAACATTGAAAAATTTAAGCAGCACTTATCAAGAGCACTCACCCCCATTTCATTCATGTTGCACAGACAGAGGTAAAGATGACATTAAAAAGAACAAAATGAAATTAACACAATTCAGCCTCGAGAAACTTAAGTTATTTAATAGTCCAATGGACTTTCTGTTTTTTACTACGAAGAATGGTGAAACAAAAACAGTTACAAACAAGTTAAAAGTGCTTACTATCTCGAAACTAGAAATGCCTGAAAAATCGTGGGAAACTCTTGGAAGTCAGATCGGTTATCTGACTCTCTCTGAGCTCCGTTTAAGCAGTATTACCCCAGGAGGTTCACTTCAGATTCTTCTAGACAGCATTGGTACATGTAAAGAAATAAAACGTCTTTTCCTCTGCAACATTAACACAGGAAATACGACTCCAAGGTTTTCGTTTCTTGCAAACCTAAAACAACTGTCAAAACTTCATTTGAGAGGGATGAAACTAGATGTACATTCCTCGTGCCTCCTCTTTAAAGCAATATGTGAGTGCAAACAACTACAGATCCTTTCCCTCTGCAACATTGATATTGAAGAAGTACCCAAGTTGCATTATGTTCGAGAGCTGAAAAAACTTTCTAAACTCACTGCAGATAACGTAACGATAAAAAGAGGGTCTGGATCTTTAAGCGAATTTCTTAATGCATTCACCGAATGTAAAAATCTACAGACTCTTTATGTCAGTAAACAAAATACATCGCAAATTCCATCAAAATTATCGGCTGTTACTAAATGGATTTAAAATTAGATATTTATTGAACAAAGTATACCAATTAACTCAAAATATTAAAAAAACTAACAATACCAAAGTTTTAATGTAATATGTTTGATTTTGTTAGTAAAAAGCTGCGTAATCTTCTTATATATATATATATATATATATATATATATATATATATATATATATATATATATATATATATATATATATATATATATATATTACATATGTATATGTATATGTGTGTGTGTGTGCGTGCAGATGGCTTAGTTTATCTAATATCATTTAC